ACGTGACGAAGATTAAAGGTTTACTAGAGAGTAACATACGAAGAAAAGCAGGAGGAGATATAAGGACGATAAATGTTTGATCCGAAAGAAAAAGCAAACTACACCAGACGCCCGCCAACCACCCACGTAGCTACTGTCAAGGTGGGCTCTCTTTCACATCACCGTAAAGTCTTAAGGAAAAGTAACACGACGGTACATTCTAACAGTAGTTTTCTTTTCTATTTTCTGCACAATTTAGGAACCTAGACTGAACAATTCGCAAGTCAACAGTATTCACACTTCATCAATTCTGACCCATTAATAGTAATAGTAGGCCTGTAGAAAATACGTCATGTTATGTTACTTAACAGAAACCTCTGCGGTGCAGTTTCGAGGCACTCGTACACCCGCTGGAGAAGGCATGAATAGTGTACTTCAAGAAATGCATATTGAGAAAACCAAGGAGGTTGGTTTGAGGAGAGGGGGTGGGGGTGGGTAGTAGAGGGGGGTTGGTATCATAATTATTATAGCAACCTGACTCAATTCCTCATTTGACCAGCTTCGTGACATTGCATAAAATCCAGCTTTTATTGCAGATTAGGCTTTTTAAAAGAAGAATCTCGCCAGCAAGTTAGATCAGTAATAACCTCTGAACGTTCAACGTACACAAACCGTTCGTTCATGGAGGAAAGTTTGGAATTTGGGATGATGGGGCAAGAGAATAATTCTAGTTGTGCAATTAATTCAATTCGTACGCTTTGACCCAAAGGATAATCCACCATATAATCTACATATTGTGGCGTCGGTGGCCTAGTGGTTAGGCTCTCGGACTCGCAACCGTAAGGTTGTGGGTTCGAATCCCGTCAGGGGCCGACGTTGTGTCCTTGGGAAAGGCACGTTACACGAATTTTCCTCACTTCACCCAGGTGGGAATGGGTGCCCGGCTATAGACAGCGAAAGATCTTGTCAGTTTGTTAGTGTTTGAGCGCTTGATCAGCTGCTTGCACTGTATGCTTCTTGGGAAGCTGAGCATGTTTCGGAGTGTTCTATGATCTGCTGGGGTAATAATATAGTGTAAAGCGCATAGAGCCTACTGTTGAGCGGGGATTTGCGCTATACAAATGCTATTTATTATTATTTATTATTATTATTATATTATCATATGAAAGTTAAGTGCCATTACCCAATACTTGTATCCTCCAGAATCCACGCTATTTGCGATGCATGATGAGGCAACAGTATAAGGATTGACAATAGAGCTGGGCAAAGAATCTAGTCGGGAACCGATTCCCAAGACTAATGCTACGAAAGAAAAATTCCGACTCCTTTTTACGAAAACCAGCCGTAACCATATTCAGTGAAATTTTCTTTGTTTTTAGAATTTATTTTGGAAAAATAACAATTGATGCTTTGTAGTGTTCCGAACTTAAGGTTATCCTAAAATCCTAAAGGCGTTCGGAGCTACCAGGTGGTCACAGGAAGATATCCCATCATTGGAAAGTAAGTAATTGGGATCGGAGTCGATTCCTGCGATTCCAAGCTTTCAATAACCGGGAACCTCACCGCCCAGCATTAATTGACAGAGCTATAACGGTAACTTTGTACGCCCAAGTACAATCAATTGTTGTGTGCATACTTGCCTTTACTGGACATTGCAAAATATTATGCTGTCATCGTATGAAAGTAAACTGCTGAGGGGGAGGAAGGAATTTCAATAAGTAATTTTGAGTTTAAGTTTGAGAAGGACATCGACACAAACAAATGAGGTCATAGTTCTAGTTTAGTAAGAGTTTTACGGCGCGCAAAGTCTACATAGGGCCACATGTGCGGGCACAGAGGGAAATAAAACTTAGAATTCTGTGTTAGCAATGCGTCCAGGACTTGGTCTCGAAAAAAAAAGTAATTGAAGTCCACTACGCAAATGAAACGTACTTTTATAGACTTCATAACTTCCACCTATTAATGTATTATGGTATTTGAGATTCAGGTATGTGAGCGCTTGATATGCTATGACTATCTTATTTCGACATGATGATAGTTAGGTTAATATTTAGTGTCTGTGGTCTTTTTCTTTTAGCATATTCTCTGTTTTGTATTTTGTTAAATCAATAGGTTGACTTACTTCACTTTTTTACGTACTTGGTGTATTGTTCTGAAAAGTACTGAATAAAATAGTTAACTGGTCTGTGCTGGCCATTCTCTCAGTTAACTGGCCCACTTTGAAAAAATAAAAGCTTTTTGCTGGTAACCCCTGTCAGAGGATTTTGTTATGCCCTCTTTAGTCGCCTCTTACCCATGTTTACAAACACCATCTGCTTTTCCTGTGGTATTCAAGTACAGTTGAAATTGTCTAAAACGGCCATTCATTGTCGAGGAGAAAAGTGGTTGTCTTAGACAGGTGGACGTTTGCTGACATAGTGTTATTACTATGTTAAACACACACACACACACACAAGACTGGAAATGGTAAATGGAAGTCTGTAAAGGTGATTGTCTTATACAGTTGGCCCTTAGAGCAGGTTCTACTCTATAATATGAATACAGGGGGCCGTCAGCCAATGATAAAAGATACGATTCATCTGTAGACATCTGAGTCGCGTATAATGGGATGTTTTCAAAACTGAATCCCAAGTATCATTCCCCCACCCCTCCTCCCTTTCCCCTCTTATCTTCTCATCTCTGTGGGTGCGGGGGCGCGAGGGCGCGCGCGCGCGCAAACACACACACACACACACATACACACACACACGCACTTTTTCTTTCTCTCTCTCTCTCTCTCTCTCTCTCTCTCTCTCTCTCTCTCTCTCTCTCTCTCTCTCTCTTTAACTCGTTCACAGTCATACGCATATATTGTACACATTCACACACGTTTCTCTTCCTCTATCTTTTTCTTTTAATCTCCCTCTCCCTGTCACTCCATCTCTTTCTCCACCCCTAGTGTGTGTGTGTATGTGTGTGTGTGTGTGTGTGTGTGTGTGTGTGTGTGTGTGTGTGTGTGTGTGACTCTCTCTGTGTGTGTGTGTGTGTGTGTGTGTGTGTGTGTGTGTATGCGTGCATGCGTCACCAAAAAAAAACAACCCCGTGGCAGCTGAACTCGGTGTCGAGTGACCTGATGCAAAAACACATCTAGCCTCCACCGCAATTTGTTCTACCTATGCCTTCCAGCCTTACACAGAATTGCTATTCACACGCACGGAGATGACAACAACCCTAAGGGATGGCTCAAATATTAACCCTTTCATTGCTAGCCCCAACAACTTTGCATACCGTAGGAATCATCATCATCATCATCATCATCATCATCATCATCATCATCATCATCATCATCATCATCATCATCATCATCATAATTAGGAGCAAGATCTGAGACACATATCGCGATCATGGTTCGCCAGTCATTCCTTTGCTCGGACGCTCTCGAAATAACATTCTTGTTATCTTGATTTTTGCCCGCCAGATTAAAATATTCAAGTGAGTTTGTTTGGATCTTCACACGCTATTTTTACCCCACTTAGAGCCTGTCACTCCTTTGGCCCCTAATCATACCCTTTGGAAACTTACCATTGACAAGGACATAATTTAATAGCTTTGTTGCAAGGCACTGAAATAACAACAAAGCTCTAAAACAATCTATGACAGCGGTGAGATTCCAGAATATGACAAAGGATCCTGAGAATGCAAGACATTGAATAGGGATACTCTACCGTACAAAAAGGCTTCTCATAACTTTATTTCTGTCTGGACTTATTTCCTATTAATTTGATACTAAAATAAATGCAGTTTTTAAATGAAACGCAACTGAATTTTTGACGATCGTCAAAGTTGGTACTCAATTCTTAATTCGACGATTGTTGAAAATGACACTGAAAGGGTTTATTAAAGAGGTATACGATTCAAATTTACCTGATGTCCTCCCATTTTGTAATGTCTGATTCATGATACCCGTCTTTCCGGATGGACCGTTTAAGTTTCAGTTTTGGGAAAGATTTTACGGCGCTTGCAACACAATTAGATCAAATAAGTGCAGGTGTTTAGAAATGTTACTAGACAGTACTATAGGCCTACACAGCAAATAACTTGGAGAAATAAGGACGATGCGTGTTTCATATGAAAGAAGGAGCAAATCACGCCAGAGCACACGCCACCATTCACAAACTTGCAACATTTCTAACTCTTTTCACAAAAGTAAATATCATGTAGACACGACCAAGTTTTCTTTCATGTATTGTTATTCTTGGTGTTTAAAATTATTGAATATTTCATATCGCCAGCCAGATGTTCAAATATACTAAGCCCCAAAATTTGATATTTTAAACCCCAGTTTTATCATCAGTGGTATTGGTTGCATGTACTTCTGAAATATTCTGATGAAATTCAGATTCTATATGTTGAAAAAAGCAGGAAAATGTGCATATTATAGGCAAGCCTGTTAAAGGTATGAAACGTTTTTTTTCCCTCACTCATTAAAAAAAGAAATTGCATTTTGGGCTTAGTACATGCGAAGAGCTTGCCGACAATATGAATTACTTGAGAAGGGAGTGGGTATTATGGAGAAGTCAACGTTTATTCAGGCCCACTTCAGGCAAGATAAGTGTAAGTTTGCTCTGACCAGTCCGGTTTTTCTCCACGAACAGATAACGCCGCCCGGACTTGCTGAATCACTGTCAAGGCTTCTTTAGGTAGCGGAGACATTCGCTCGAGTAGTCGAATCGGTATGATCGAATCACCACAGAAAAATCAGACGTGTCAGAGCAGCCTTCGCGGTTGGTTCCCTCCAAACGAGAAATAATATTATGATGATCTAAAGAGCGGCACACCTGGCCCGCGTCCGACAACTGCACCTCACCCCCCCCCCTCGATACCTCGTGGTATTAAAGAACAGAAAAAGGGGGGAAAAGTAAGCAAGTGCATGTAACAGAACAGCCACCGCTGTTGGTTGGAATAACAAGCCAAATCGGATTCGTGCCTACCCGCATTACGCTTTGAATAAAGGTCAGCCCACTGCGCCGGTGGAACGTTCAAGAACTAGGACTCTCCATTTAATACGGGTCGTTCGGGTTCCCATCAGCCGTCTGCATTTTTGTCACTGGTGTTATCACTGAGGGTTGTGTCCACTCCGAGCTCTGACCCACTATACAGGTAGGCTACAGTCTTCACTTATTGCATCATTTCTTTTTAGTAAGAATTTTACAGCACTTGCCTCACCATAAGTTATACAAGTGCCGATGAATAGATTATTTGTTACAAGAGAGTGACATACACCAAAAAAAAGGAGGACAGATAAGGACGATAGATGTTTGACAGGAAAGAAGGAGCAAACCACACCAGAGCACCCGCCAACCACCCACATCATTTCTTCACCTCGTCTCAGGCATTGTAGGTGTTAAGTATATGTGAAGCAGCATAGTGGAATCAGCCTCTCGTCAAAATAATCAAAGTGAAGAAATTTGCATTTTTCCACAGGTTTGTACATTTTCATCAAATTTTCATTTTTTGGCTCAGCACCTTTCTTGCCCATTAAAGAACTCATTTCTGTGTGGATTTTTCTGAAAAACTTTGATTAAAGGCACAAAAAAAGTAAATTTTCAGTTACCACGGACTCTAAAGCTAAGGAAATAACTAATCTTTGGCAGCCATTTTCTCACTAATTTTACCTCTGAAAACAGGTGACCCCCACCTCCTTCGTTCACAAATATCTTGACTTGTACTCTAGATAAAAGGATATTTTTTCCATCCAAATAAAGACAACTGAACAAGCTTTAAGTGATACCAATAACTCTACTTGCCCAAAAATTGACGAGAGCCTGATTCCAGCATGCTGCCTCACATATACGTGAACAGAAGACAGAGATAAAAAACAAAACAAAAAACTATCTTTAAATTTTTGCAGCCATCAGTATTGGTAAAAGTAAACTAGAACTTGGATTGCAACAAAACTAGCAGTATTTCCATATTATTGCATGCATTATCTTTGGTGTTAGACGCGGTAATAAGGCTCCAAGGTTTCCAATCCGATATTTTTTTCGCTTTTTGCAAAGCAAAATGTTGTACTTATTGTTCAACTTTAGTTCTCTGCAGTTATTTTCGACAACGTGTCTGTGTATTTGCCTGTCTGTCTGTCTGTCTGACTGTCTATCTATCTAATTCTCTCTCTCTCTCTCTCTCTCTCTCTCTCTCTCTCTCTCTCTCTCTCTCTCTCTCTCTCTCTCTCTCTCTATATATATATATATATATATATATATATATCTGTCCCTCTGCGTGTGTGTGTGTGTGTGTGTGTGTGTGTGTGTGTGTGTGTGTGTGTGTGTGTGTGTGTGTGTGTGTGTGTGTGTGTGTGTGTGAGTGTGTGTGCGTGTGAGTGCGTGTCTCCCTCCTTTTCACTCCCCTCTTTATCACACTCTGTCTGTCTGTCTTCATATAATATACATATGTATGTAATTATATAAAATATACCGGCCTAGAAAAGTAACGACCGCCTGCAAGTATATGGTTGTGAAGAGGCACAGTCACGCTATGATGGTTCTACAACAGCCCGGGGCTACCGGTTTGTAACGTTCACACCGTGGAAGGTACACACGATACATTCTTCTGTCTATCCGCCTGAATCCCTCGCCGCCATAGCGTACTCTACTAAGTAAAGAACGCCATGCTCGCCGCCCATTCAACAATTGGCTTTCTGTATACCTTTCATAACAGCCAACCGTTCGTACCTCAGGGAAGTCCCCTCTAAAGAATTCACGATTAAATTGCTTCCATTTCTCTTCTGTGGGGTTTTTTTTACTCTTGAGCCGCGTTTTTCATCTGTACAAAGTGGTTTTTTTCCAGAAACAAAAATAATAAAATAAATACAATAAAATAAGAACCCTGCAGTTTAAAGAGGGGCGAGAGGGTGGGGTTTATTTACTTTAAACTAAAGCAATGCCAAACTGTTGTAAGGACAGACTAAACGTGTCTTTCATTTAGTATTAATAACAGTTTTTAGGCAATTATCTAGTTAGTTTTAGTAGAGGTTTTACGGCGCTCGCAACTGCATAAGGTCATGAGCGCCAGAAGATTAGAGGTGTTACAAGAGAGTAACAAACATAAAAAAGCAGAAGGTGAGATAAGGACGATAGATGTTTGATAGGAAAGAGGAAGCAAACCCAATTAGAGCACCCACCAACCACCCACAGAAATAATTTACAACACAAATAGGTGACTAAATAGGTCATATAAGTACCGGAGATTAGAGGTGTCACTTGAGATTAACATAAAAAGAAAATGAGAAAGAGGGAAGCAAGGTAGTTGTTTTACATTAGAGAAAACACAAACCACACTAGATCACCCGTCAACCACCAACTAAACGTGCCTATACATTATTATAAAAGTTGCTCTGCTAACAACTGTGATATATTTAGTTGAAAGAAAAATAGAGTTGACTTCTTTATCGCGTAGATACAGACAAAGCGACCTTCAGAACTGTTTTGACAAGGATCTCGGTTTCTGGTAAGCACACCTTTCAAAAAGTAAAAAATGATTAGAAAAACATCATAGCTTATTTCTTCTACTTTTCTTTATTATCTTGGTCGTGAATAGGGTAGATATATGGCATAAACTATATAATATCATTCGTTTATTTTCTGTTCCGATAAGTCTTCAAACTTGCAAGAATACACGCGTGTTTTTTTAAAGCTTTAAATGTTTTTGTTGTAACAGTCATTAGCTCTTCGATGATGTTCTCTCTCTCTCTCTCTCTCTCTCTCTCTCTCTCTGTCTGTCTCTCTCCCCCTCTCTCCAATTGTTGATTTAGCTTTCCCGCCGAGAAGCCCTCTACAGTTTGTGTTTAATTATCCCGTGTCAATACTAGAGTCCACAATTATGAATGAATCGAGATTTCTTACATTGTTATCTACAAATTGGTACTGTGGGGGAGGGTAGTATATGTTCTTTTTCAGTGCCAAAATTTGTTAGAGGCTCTTGGAATGCTTTGTTTAAAGAGAGTGCCAGTAAACATGTGAGTGTATATAATGCGTGTGTATGTGTGCGTGTTGGTGGGGGGGGGGGTTGTATGTTCTGTACACTTTAGTGTGCGCGTATTTTCGTACATTTGTCACTCTTTGAATGTGCCGCCATGTGTGTGTGTTTACTTAGTACGCACGTGTGGTTGTATGTTGAACAAATGTGAATCAATGTGGGGAAGCATGTGTTATGGTAATTCTTGTATAATAGCCAAGTCAAGAACCATCGTCTGTAGTGTAGCGGTTAGGGGCTTCTGTAATTTTTTTTTCAAACAAAATCAGTTTGTGTCCTATGTTTCAGTTCTTTACTCTTTGCGTCTTCAAATTAACGTTAATGGCCAACCTACTTTATTAAAAAAGACAAAAAAAACAACAATAACAGTAACAGACAAACAAGTAAAAAAAACAACAACAAAAAAACAGCAACAACACATCATCATCATCATCATCATCATCATCATCATCATCATCATCATCATCATCATCATCATCATCATCACCATCATCAACAACAAAAACAACAACAACAACAACAACAATAACAACAACTACAACAACAACACAAAAAGAGCAAGCCAAAACAACAACAACAAACAAATAAAAAAGACAAAACAAAAAGAAAACAAAAAGCGCTGATTTCTGTTCAACACAATTAACCCAGACGTCCTGAGTATAGCCTAATATAATATTATCTCTGAAAAATTCCTCGTCTTACTGTCCATTTTGCAGGCTCGTAATACCCAACATTTTTGAAAAAGCACAAGACACCAGATACCAGCAATGGCCGACGCAAGTCTGAAACTCGTGTACTTTAACGGCAAAGGCCGCGCAGAGATGATCCGTCTGGTGCTGGCAGCCGCGGGAAAAGAGTACGAGGACGTGCGTGTGACGTCAGAACAGTGGAAGGACAAGAAACCAAGTGAGGACATGGCTCTACTCTTCTTTCTACTCTTGTCAATACTATTAATAGCTTTTTGTGTGGGGGT